GGACTCGGGCACGCTCTTGAGGTCTCTGCGGGCTTTCTTCCCACGATGTTTTCCCGGGCCTCTGCGAAGCGTGATTTCTCAGGCTTCGCTCCCTTTTCCGTCCCCTCCCTCCCCCACGTGAAAGCGTCTCACCCGCCCGACGATTTTTTAGAAGGGGAAACCAAGGGCAGAAACCGCCCGCCAGGGCGACATTCGAGCTACCGGGTGGATTTGCACGACGGCTACCTCCTGCAATGCCTTCAGCACCTTGTGTTTTCCTTGTGTGCCTGTAAACGTTGCCAAATGCACAACGGCTCCCTCTCGGTCACTGAGCTCGGATATTCGTTGTTCAGATTTCATCTAAAGATACAATCCTCTCCTTCAGGTTTAACAGGTTGGTCAGTCTAGCCAGCCTTCACCCTGAGTTTAAAATGTTGCATTTCCTGTCTCCCCCTCCACCCCCCGCCCCGCACCCCCAATAGTTGCTACCTGACATGTGGCTTTTCCCAACCAGATGATTATTTGGGCCGCAAGAATCCATGGTCGGTTCTTGCCTCTGCAGCCAGGCTCCCCCGCTGTCTTTCCCTGACTGCAGTGTGGGTCGGACTTCCCTCGCCTGCGACCATCACAGATGGGCTGTGAGCCAGACACCACCGCGCACTGCAAAGGGCGGCAGGATTTCTGCAACGCGAGCCCGCAATCGCGTTCGCTTTACTTCCACTAAACAAGTGGCCCGGTGCCACATTAAACTTTCCAGCTTTAATCATTTAAAAATATATAGACATGTTTTATTTATAGAGCTCCTACTGTTTCTCCGCATATTTTAACATTTCAAGAGCAAATAAGGAAGCAATGACAAGTGAAAGCCTCCAAGTTATTCCAAGAGGAGTAAGGAGCAATGCCACTGTGCAATCGAACACCCTGATTTGAATTCCACCTCCCCCTCATACCGGCTTGTGACCCTGGCCAAATTTCTTTGCCCCTCCGTGACAATTTCCTCACCTCTGTAATGAGACTAATACTAGCTCGATACTTCTTAGGATTGTTTGGAATTAAAGACAATGCACAGAGAACGCCCTAAAAAATAAGTTGGCCCCTATCTTAAGATCTTTATATGATATGAATTTCAATCTCCACCGAACTTTTAAAAACTGTTATTTGCTAAAGAAGGAGTAAAATTGGCCTGCATTGGACCTCTCCCTGGGTGATGACCTGTGCAAGTGGAGTTTTCAGAGTGAAATGATGTGCTCAAAGACAGGAAATATAAAAAAGGAAGTAGTAGGATTGAGAGAAGTTATGACTAATCCACACACTGGATGATGAACCAAAAGATGCAAGATGACTGCTTTTCCTGAGTTAACAGGCTCTTATTTCAGTACTGTTGATCTCACTGACATGCTTAATTCCGATGCAACAAAAAGGTTACTCAGCTCCCACTGTCTACCAGGGGCTGTGCCAGGAGCCCCGGGGTTGCAAAGGTGGATAAAGCACCCTCCTTACCCTTGGGAGCTAACTCTAAAAGATAGGGGACCTACTCCATGCCCCTCTGCTGTTGAACCCCAGGTCATGCTGGCTTGACAACTGTGTTCTCTGTGCCCTTTACACCTGCATTCAGGAAGCCCCCCAGTAAATGTTACCCCCATTTTTCATGATCACATGGTGGAAGACATGTATCACAGTTTAGTTGTGGAAAAGACATTGTCTAGACTAATCCAGACTTTCCTTTTTTTTTCCTTGACTGTTCAGATGTTTTATTGTTTTTAGACTAATCTAGACTTTTCATTAAAGGTCAGAGGACAGGTGATTGTCTCTTTTACTGGTCCACACACCATAGCTACCCCTTAACTTATACCATTATTTATATGAGTCATAATTTGGCAAACAACAAAGAATCCTTGGCACAAGAAAGACTTCCCGGTTGGATTTTACTTTATGACTTTAATGACTTTAATGAGGCCTCATAGAATTTCCATGATGATAGCGTCTAGTATAGAATGGTCTCTGTTTCCAACTTCCTGATTCTATTCTTGCCCCTCTCAGTCCATTCTCTGCACTCAAGGCCTGGAAAGATCTGGCTTCCTCTTTTCTCTCCCTCCCCCATTTATGCCTCTACCCTTACCCCCCTTCCACCTTCGACTCACACTGGTCTTGGCTCTGCCCCTCCCCCCCCCCACGGCTCTTGTCTTAAGGTCTTAACTGGCTCCTTTTCATCTCTGAGGTCTTCCTCTTCAAAGAGGCTTTCCCTCACCCCTCCTAAAGTAGCCCCGCCTGGTTACTCTATAATGTCATCTAGTCCTATCACCTCATGTGAAGGTAAATATTATTCCCTTCACTGCTATCTCTTAGCCGAATTGGATTACCTTGTTTATTTGTGGTGTGTAAACCTATCCAAAACGGGGATATTCCCTTCTCATTCCCCCCCATGACTACCACCATCGTTCAAGCCACATCTCCTCCCACCAGGATGACGGTCGGCAGTGACCTTCTAACTTCCCCGCTTGCCTACACAGCAGCCAGAGTGATCCTCTGAAAATGTAAATGAGATCCTGTCACCTTCTGCTCAGAAATCCTCCAGTACCTCCCCGGTTCCCTCAGAGTAAAGGACAAAGCCTTTACGGTGGCCTGGCAAAGCGGAGGGTGACAAGTGTGTTCATTCTAAGTTGAACAAAGGAAAAGACTAATTGTTCTTTGGTCATAGTACAACAACCAGAATCTTTCCACCCATCAGTGACAACCTCTCACTCGGTGACAGCTTCCCGCTTCAGAAATTCAGCCAGTCAGCGACAGCCACACTCCAGCAATCCTGCCTCCTTAGCTAAAGGTCAGCTCAGCCCCCAAACAGTCCAGCTTCTAAAAGTGTGAATCTCTGAACCCACACTTCCCAAAACACCATGTAAGACCACAGATTTATTTGGTCACAGGCTCTGCCTTACAATGCAGCTGTCCTTTGCTTAGCAAGAAATATATTCCTTGCTTTTTATTTGTTTCTGAATTTCAGAAATGGTGACCTTTTCACTGGGCAAGACCCTATGGGATCTATGATCTATCCCCTCTCCTCTCTCCCTCTAACTTTTACTTTTTCCTTTGCTCACTCCACTTCTTGTTGTCCTTATTTCTAACAGGAATGCTCCTGCCTCAGGACCTTTGCATTTGCTGTTCCATCTGCCTGGTACCTTCTTTTCTCAGACATCCACATACCTCATTCTCTCAGCTCCTTCCATTTCTCAGTGATGCTCACCCTGACCTAAAAATTGCAATTCTAGCTCCCTATCCCCGCTCTCCCTTAACTGCTTTATTTTCTTTTTCAATGATACTTATCACCTGTAACAAACTGTAGAATTTCCTCATTTATTTTGCTTATGTTTTATTGTCTGTCTCTTCCCATTAGAATGTAAGTTCTATGAGGACAAGGATTTTTGCTTTTTGTTCACAGGTGTATCCCAAGCACATAGTAAGTACTCAAAAAACATTTGTTGAATGAATAGATTTTTAATATTTCACCTTATTAGGACAAGAACTTTTTGAGTGCAAAGACTTTGTGTTCACCACTGTATACTTAGTGCCTGGAACAGTGTCTAGCACATACTGGGAGCTCTATATGTCTATATGGAATTGAATGCATGAGCAAGGCATTGGATACAATTGTACTTTAATTGATAATGTAAATGACCCTGAAATTACCAAAGCCTGATATGTCATCTCTCTCTGGAGAAACAGTTAATAAACATATTTCAAATTCTTCAAATTATTACGAAGTGTTAATCAAAATGTTCAAAACATATTCATCACTATTTCCCCATGGATTAGTGAGTTAATTAAATATCTTTGAAAATATCTTTGATCAACCTGAAAAACCAACAAGATCACTCCTCCCTAAGGCTGCTCAGGCCATGGACTAGAGGAAAACTTGTCTTTAATAAGAAAGAAGGCCAGAAAACATCTTTTTGCTTCAACTGTCGGGTCTCCTCCTCC